AGTGTGGTGTGCAATATAGTGAAATGAAAAGTGTAAAATTATATAGCAATGAATGCAGAATGGCACCTGCTATAGAGGACTACAAATCCCAGCAATAGTACATTATAGTTGGTGGTATTCTGCATTGCGCTGTATAATGTACTATTGCTGGGTGTTGTAGTCCTCTAAAGCTGGTGGAATTTCGCATTGCGCTCTATAATGTACTATTGTTGGGTTTTGTAGTCCTCTATACAGCGCAATGCAGAATACCACCAGCTATATAGGAATACAACAAATCCCAGCAATACATTATACATACAGTGTATAATGTATTGCTGGGATTTGTAGTCCTCTATAGCTGATGGTACATTGGTCTGTATAATATACAGCACAATGTACCATCAACTATAGAGGAATACAAATCCCACTATCCCAGCCATAGATTATAGAGCACCATGTGGGGAAAGTGCAGGCTTACCTGAGCAGTCTTCCAGCAACTTGTTTCTGAGATCGGGCCTATTTATCGGCGGCTGTCATCCCCCCCACACCTGCTCCTCCTTACTTCTTCTCCCTGCGTCCCTGTGCCGACCGTGGATTTGGGCGGGCAGTGAGCGTGAGGCAGGGAGGAGGTGTGGCGTGTGGAGCATGGATGCGGGCGGGTCTGAGGTGGGGAGGAGGTGTGGCACGCAGCGTGTGTGGAGCCGTGAACAGGGGCAACCAATCGGAAGCCGATTAATCGATGATTGAAATAGTTGACAACTTTTTCAATAATCGATTATAATCGATTATGTCGATTAGTTGTTGCAGCCCTAGTGTTGACTGTCTCCTACAGCTCTATTCCCCTTCTCAACCCCATGCTGCTACCCTATTCAAGATGTGTGGTTGATGTTTTAGGGCTGGTTCCCAGAGACTTGCAACAGGAGATGCTAGATAAGTATCTCTCAAAACTTGTATCTATGTCTTACTGTTGTCACAATGCAGTTATCATGCAATGTAATGTGACTGTGTAACTATGCTTATTGCATTCATTATATACTTCATTAGTGGTAAGCACTTCTGCCTTGCAGCACTCGGCCACTTGGTTCCTATCCTGGCCCTGGCACTCTGGGTGAAGTTTGTATGTTCTTCTTGAACTTGTATGGGATTCCTCCAGGTATTTGGGTTTCCTCCCACACTCCAAATATATGCTTATTACTTTATTTAATAAATCAATGAATACATACAAGTGATGGTCCAAATTTTGAGCATCACTTGCGAAATGTGGGCATTTGAAGTCTTAGCAGGCACAAGACACATTCATAGGTAGGTAGATTTTTCCCAGGAAAATGTATGCCCTTTTCTGATCAGTAGCTAACATTGTTTACATTTGCAACAAGGTAAATAGCACAAAATATCCATTCTGTGCATTTCTCAAATACATGAATTCTGAAATACATGTTAGTGTTTTTGTTTTCAGATATTCAAGATGACGGATCTTACTGACGACAACACACCTGATAATAATTCTAACAGTGTCAGAAAGCTATCGAAGAATCAGATATTGACACTTATTTCTGCCGCTTCACTTAACTTTAGTTCTATGATATGTTATTCCATTTTGGGACCATTTTTCCCTCAAGAGGTAAAAACAAAGATATAATGTTTTCCACATTTAAATTTCAGGATTGGGTCCTAGATCTGATCATAACAATATTACGTGATGGGTGTTTTTTTTTTTTTTTTGTGTGAAATGCTAGATACTTGAGTGATTTTCTCCAGATACACATAGCCCCAATGGTCTGTTCATATTTCTTCACTGTAGTATGTTTCATACTGAAGTCCCTAGTGAGCCAGAAGCTGCTGTTAGTTCATAGTAAAGTTGCCCTTACGCAGCCAAACATTTTTAAAGTTTTGGATAGAGTAGAAAGGATTATAATCTCTGTCTGGTTTTAATGACTGTCGGTGTCCTTGCTGGGAAGACTCACCCTCTCTATTCGTCCTTGTGATTATCACTGGGACAGAAAGTAAGGGAAAAATACTGCCATGGTTTCAAGTGTGGGCTTAGATATACTTTTACGTAATGATTGTAATAAATGTTGACATCTAAAGTAGACCCAAAGCATTTTTGAAGAAAACATTTTTGACGCACCTTGTTGCCGTACTACTAAACTAGAGAAGCATGTACCTTTCAGCAGTTTCATGCTCACTCTAGCTGCCACCATGCAAACGTGGCTGCTATTGCATATTATGTGCTCTGCCAAAGGACTGTATCTGATACAGACCCAGTGACTGAAGCCTCTGCGGCTGTGTAGTTTTAGGGTTGTGGCGGGTGTAAATTTATTTTTCCAATAGTCTTTAGGCCCATTATTTTACCATACTTACCCATTGCACTAACATCTCTGAATCATTACACAGAAATAATTAGTTTTTTTCTGTTATTGGTCAGAATCATTGTCTTAGATTCAGTACCGGATGGCTTTTCTGGAAGAAATGCTTTGCTGATGATTCCAGACTCTGTCTTGGTAGATGCAAGCTATGTTCAGCATGCCTTAGGACAGATAAAAAAATTTAGGCACCTGTAAAGTAAAAAAGTAAGAATCGGAGCTCAAGCTGGCTGAGCCTTCCCATCAGCAGAAACCAAGGGCCAAGACCTAGGCGTGTGACCAGTTTGTGGGATGCCTAGAGCAGCATTTTCTCCTTTTGAAAGATATGTTTTTCTGCCTAATATTATTTATCAATCCTGGCATAATTGTAAACCTAGCTTTGCAAAACTATTTAAATATAATGTAGGTTTTAGATTACCCATTGCTAAAAATGTATATAAACCCAAAATACATTTTTCAGTATGTTTGGCATCAGGCCTCACTATATACAGTTTTTTCTCAAGCAAATTGGGTTTTTGTGTGTGAATCTATTGCAATGTTTTGTACTTGGAAATCCTGCCAGTATCACTACTCCCTGTTGAAGGCTAACCGTTAATCCACTGCTTTGCAATTTGCAGCAATGCCAGTTTACCATGTGTGCTGTCCATTAGGTAGCTGTTGGGTTGCCTATGAGGTCTTTTATGCTTATTGAATTGTACATGTGTATGC